CTTGTAGTTTTTGGTGATTTTATTGAGAAAAATTTGAAGTTTACAAATGTTTTTAAATTTCATAAAACCGATAAAAATTTTAAATTATAGAAGCTGCTTAATTTTAAAAGCTGTTAAAAATTTAAAAATTGTTAAAAAAATTTCAACTCTCAGTTCAGATCCCGAACTTAAATTCCCCTATTCTTCATCCGATTCTCACCATATTTTAGTAATAAATAAATTAAACAAAGTGGCTTACACATTACCATTATGGGTGCAGACGATAGTAATTCAATATGATGGTAGTTTGATTTATAAATTTTCTTGCATTATTCGTGTCTCATAACTAGCAAGCAATATCACTCGCAATGACCTTGAGAGCAATAAATATAGATTTTATCTCGAGTATTTTGATTTCTGAGGTAATTTAGGCAAATCCACATTGAATTTATCTTTTGATTATTTTTAGATCAAGTTTTTGAGTTTTTTTTTATGTTTATGAATGAATTTTTGGGGACCTTGAAGATTTTTGTGATTTTGTAATATTTACCGTGTTTAGCAGAATTTCTTTAGAACTTGTTCTTGGGTATTTTTAAAGCTTACAAAACGAGATTCTCTCAAAAATTGTAGCTTGAATGACTTTTTAAAGATGACTCGTGCATGATCTTTTTAGTGCCAATTTTAGAGAAAATTCTGTAGAAATTTGAATGAGATCATTTTTTTGTAATTTACAGTAAATTCCGTAACTGTTTGAGATTTACAACATTTCATATGATTCTGTAACTTCCAACATGTTCTGAATAAATCATATGATGTCATTTGAGAGTAAGAAACATTGTGTCTGAGAGTTTATTTTCTGCTATTTTAGTTGACAGATAAAACAGCTGTAGTTTGACAACATTAAGGTTTATTTTGAAAATTTTGCGACTTTTATTTTTGATGATATTTTTGGATTGTTTTTTGTGAGTTTATGAACTAGAATTGCTGAAGACTGTTTTAAAAAATGCTGTTCATACTAAAGGGTGATTAGAAAATCAAGATTGCAGTAGGAATCGAACTCACGATTTTCAAAGAAAGCAATGATTTTATTTATCAGAATCTTGACCAATTTGTCATAAAAAATCTTACTTTAAAGCTGACAAATTTGCCTTTAATATATCAGTAATCTACAGATTTAACTTTACTCACGCACAACCAGCACTAAACTAATTTTAACCTCAAACTATTCATCAAAATCGACACCGCAATTATAAAATCTATTTAATTTCTTCTTCATCTTCCTTAAAATTGCACAAATAGTTTCTCACAATTAATCCACAAACCTTGCCAAACTAATCTTCAATTCCATAATTTACAAATTCACGACAATTTTTCATGTCATCTAAATTTCACAAAAAAAAACTATCCACCTTGCCTTGAATTTCGCACGTATTTCTATTGAAAATAAATCTCTATTCATTGATATTTGACATTAATCCGCTACAATTCCAAATATGGAAGAAGCTTGGTTTTATGAGAATTTCTACAAATTTGTTCATTTTATGCAAACTCATAATTTTTAAAAAATTAAGTAAATTTATTAAGCAACATGAAGACAAGCAAAGTTTATCCTTATATTCGCAGTTACGAAAACCTGATACACCTTTATGATTGGCGCCGCAGAGTCGCCAAGAAGAAAATGACGAATTTGAATCTTTGGTGAGGAAGAAGGTTTTTTAGATTGTAGAATAAACTTTGTGGTTTATAATTAAAATTTAAACAGAGTTTTTGAAAACTTTTGGTTGTGAAGTAGGGGCTAGATAGAAAGGTAGATTCTGAGTCAAAAGTCATTAATTTTCCATAATTTACAAGACTTTTTAAGATCTTAACGATTTAGACTAAAAAGGGGATTTTCTTAGCTTCACCTCTTATATGCTCGAATGGCACAAATCGGTTAATAGATCAAGAGTCCAGCACCAAGCCGGTATGACTCTGGCATGGTGCTGGATTTAAATCCAAGCCAATAGCATGCCAGAGTCATGCCAACTTGGCACCGGATCTCTATTCGATTAACCGACTTGTTCTATTTGGGATGGCTAGTGACCATATAAAAACATAACCTCAAAATAGTCCAAATTTCACTTCCGAATTCTCAAAAAATAATTTTTTATATCACGTAGAGTATGTTACGGTTAAAAATCAGTTCCTTTTCTAGAATCATAAATTACTGATAAGCAAATCACAAACTTTACACAACTGATTTTCAGTCTACATTACTTTTTTATCAGTAACAAGTTTTAATGTCACAAATTAAGCCTCATAGACTTTTAGTAGCTCCCATAAGAATGAAACATTTTCCTTCTTAGAACTAAGATCATCGTCCCAAACTTTAAACATTCCTACATCTCGTAACTTCATCCAATTTCCCGCACATGATTTTTCTAAACATTTAACAAATAATGAAGCAAAATGTTGACAATAATGAACCAGAAAAAGGCCTCAAAAAACAAATTTCAATGTCAACAGTTTAACAAGCTCTTCTATTTTCTCGGGTCGTTGCTATTCTGGATAATTTAGAAAGGGTAATGACGCAGCTTATTGTTGAGTGCTCTTGATTAGTATAATCTGGTTAAATTTACGTCTTAATATCCCCGAAACATCATCTAGTCTCAATTATTCATGGGAACTTCTAGAATCACAAATTTCATGCTGAAATGTTTTTACCTTAAATAATTAAACACTACAAATTTCAGATTCTGTACAACTTAAAATTGTTCAACTCATAAATTTTTAAATTAGAATTCTCAGAATTAATTTTCTCGTTTCTATTCGCCCCCTCGTAGCTTTGTTTGTGTTTACAATTTAAATAGAATTTCATGATCCATATTCATAATATGTCGATGAATGAGTGAAGGAAAAATTCAATTTATTGCTAAGTTAATTCACTTCAATTAATATTAAAAATTAAGAGTCATAAAAAAGTTTTTGGAAGAGTGATTCTCTGGAATATGTGGATGTGGTTTTTTGTTTGGGTTGACTGGATGGATTAATATGAATTGTTTTTTGAATTGATTTGTCTTTCTCTTTTCATTTATTATTGTTGTTGTTTCTGAAGTTTTAAGAAATTTTGAAGTTAATTTTTTATTGACTCTATTTGGGTTTGTCGTAGATTTTTTATGAATGAAACATGTGACATCCTTTACTCTAGAGTTGACATCCTTAGTTAAATTGATTTTTTTTTTTCGAATAATAAAGTAAGATACTGATCAAAAATGGCCCAAAATCGATGATCCACATCTTTTGGAAGATAGATTTCCTTCATGTATTGTATAGGTCTATTTCTAGAGCTTCTTAAGGCACTCTTAGGTAGAAATGTTATTGAATGTCTTACAATACTATCCAATAATATGAGATATATATGAGAATTAAGTGAAACTAGGGCTGAGTGCCACGGATAGCTCTAGAAACCGGCTTCAATCTGAACTCTCATATTACGTTAAATATAAAGTCCTTCTTACTTATAGGCTTAGATGTTGTCTTGAAGGTCGTTGTTAAGTTGATCAGTACCAAAATGTTAATTCAATGAAATTGTCTAACTTAAAACAAGTCAAGATAAACCAAGGAGGTAACAAACTTTGTTCAGCAAAAACCACTTAATTAGTCATGAAAATACATAAGTTAAAATTACGTTCTTAATTTTAAATGTTTTTAAAATATTGATGTGAAAATCATTTAAAAACTAGTTTTGTATCTATGGCGTTGGAGAAGAATAGATGTTGGGGTATTGAGCAATATAAAGGCCATTCTGTCCGGACGAGAGTAAGGCCTCAGTGGTGCGAATAATTAGGCAACAGACTCTTTATTTGTAACTTTCTTTTGAGAGGACATGACTTCGATTCCCACCAAGGACCGATCTCTCAATCATTATATAGAGTGATGTCGATAAGACATGGATTCGGTCAATGTTCACGATTAAAACAAGCAAGATATATAGATGTGCTCATACAAAAATATCGCAGTTTTTAAACGTCAAAAATTTGAATTTTCTAAAAACACTAACACTATAAAAGAAAATTTTCAATTTTTGTTTTGCAAAATTTTCAACTTTCTGTTAAGTTTTGTTGATACAGGAGTATTGCAAATGCTTTGCTATAATTTAAAGTAACAGACTTAAGTCAAATGTTGTTGCATCTGTCGATATTTAAATGAAAACTTGAAAATAGAAAATTTTAAAAATTTTTGTTTGTATAAGTACAAAAAAATAGTATGGTCGAGTATGGTCAAGTATACTCTGTATGAGCCCATCTATATATCTTGAAAACAAGTTAAAGTATTGCAATCAATTTTTAATAATTTAAATCCAGTAAAGTCGTTAAATATCATTCCCACTCAAAGAACCTCCAAACATCAATATTATTAAGAAGAAATCATGATTTTAGCAAGAAATAAGATCAAGTTTCACTAATTTTCACTAGAAAACTCAACCTTAGTCTAATTCCAATGATTAGATCACCATCAGAAATGCGTTTTCGCCACCCACGCACAAACTGAATATTCCCCAACACACTCTTTTCAAAAGAAAAAAATTTCTCGATTCGAACAACAGAAAAAAAGAGCCAGGCAAAGCAAGACAGGCGAAAAATGAATATAAAAAGAAGTTTAAACAGCAGTTGCGAGTCATAACGATCAAAACGAGTAAAAAAAAGAGGAAAAAAATATCATTTCAGCATCGTGTGCGAATAAAAGTCAAAACCATCTGTTTACAAAGTGATCAATTAAGTCGATAAATTGATATTCTATCGATACGAAATGTTTTCAACATAAATTAATTGGCGTACAAACATTCAATTTAGCACGAAAATTGCTCAAATTTCCTTCTGCACATTTGCTAATTTTGAGAATTTTAATTTTTTTTTCTCTTCTTTTGCTGATGTTGCACAAATACACAGATACACATGGACGAGTCACTTCTTATTCTTATTCTTATTTATTTTCTCATGAATAATATTTGATTATTTGCATATTCTTTTTACAATATATACCTTCTTTATCGTAAGTCACACACAAAAAATATTATACAAAATTTACACACCGCGACCGCGCGAAGGCAAAAGAAGATTTTCTTTTTCTATGTGGGAATACAAAAAATAATGCGACAAATTTAAGTTAAACTTCTTTGCGTCCGTCGTTGCAGAAAAATCGAGGAAAACTGAAATATACTAAAATGATTTTTTTTTTCAGCGAGAGTCGTCGGAGTCCCACACTTGATTATGTGTAAGAATAATCGCACACAATTGTGTGTCAAGCTGAGTCTTTTCTCAAATGAACAAAACAAAAAAAAAGTGTAAGTTAATTCCATACACTAACAGCATGTGTATGTTCGAGCCGAAGCATGTATGGAGAAGAAACAACACACAATTAAAGATATATGTGGAAATAGACTTAAAGAGATCGGATATCGTTTACATTCGGAGGTCTACATGCGGCACACGAAGATCACGCAAATTGTATGACTTTGATTGTGTTTGAATAGCCGAAAATAACTCGTTAATTACTTAATTGCATATGAATGAATATCGTTGTTGAGACTACAAATACATGCGACATGCTGGCTAATACTAACTTGAGTGGTGATCATTTTTTCACATGATGATCGATATACAGAAGAAATGAGAGGTTCTCAACTGTTAAGAAGAAGATTTTTGAGTATAATTAGCAGCATTACGTCATGTCTGTTGTTTGCATTCATATTTAGCATATTTTTGTGGGATTTAGGCTGATTGGGAATCGTTTTGGTTGTTTTATTTGGAAAATGATTTTGTAAAAAGTTTTATTGTGGATTTATTGAAGCTGTATGGAATTAGAGGTGTCGAGCCATACCAAATTTAGACAAAACTGTTAGTGCTAGAGTCTGGGCGTTTGTGGCCGAGTGGTAAAACAAGTTACAAAAAATCTGAAATTCTTGATTCTTTTCAAAAGTCATTGGTTCAATTCCTATCAAAACTTACACAATTCTCACGACACTTTATTATGATAAAGAGCATAATATTGGCAGCACACATGCGATCAAGATTAATAGTTTAAGTTGGAACTTAATCAATCTCATTGGCAATCAGCAGCATTTTAGAATTAAAAATAAAGTATTTTGAACGTTGACATCTTCAGTCATTTAAACAACCCCCCACCCGACTCTGTTAGAAAATGGCATGCTACGTCACACAAAGACAAATCTACTTCCCAAAAATTCGATATTATCATGAACAACTCTTTATCTACATCGATAAGTTGTATGGTAGAAACTCAAAGTTCACGAACCTTAATAATATTGATTTCTAATATTGTCATTAATGACTAAGCTTTTTTCTTAAGAATTGAATATATCGATAAATTAAGGAAGAAGACATTTGTGCGATGAAGGCAAATTTACGCCTATGCAAAATCACACTTTTCTCCATAAATATTTTATCTCATTATGGAGCCGTTTATAAATGATGTTTCTCATAAAATTTTATTTATAAAAAAATTCTCGCAATCTTGTTTTTAAAATCACACGGCATCAGTTTCTCTCTTATTTGGATTCGTCATTTATTAATGACTCCCATGACGTCGTTTAATTTTTTTACATAATTTAATAAAGACTCAATGTTGTGCTGAATTTTAATTATGCTCGCAAAAAATTAAAAACTTCTCAAGGAATTCTAAAATTGCTTCTTCTTCAAAAAACCATGAAAATTGATCTTAAAAATTAATTATCGATAATTTTTTCTATAATTCATCATTTTCGTTAAAACCTACGCAACCAATCATGCTCATCATTCATCTATTAAGTGCTCCACATAGCAACTTATCGATTCAATAATTATCAAATATCAGCTGTCGTCTAATTACAAAACATGTCAAGTCACTTCATGTTTACGTTCTTTAATTATGTACAGAATTACGTCACTGCTTCTTTGGAAAAAAACAAGTAAACAGCAACATTAGTGTTGACAGGTCGCCTGCCGTAATAGAAATGATAAGGTCTGTGAATTAATGAATTATGCATAAGTTAAATTTCCATACTGATACGCCAGTAAGTTTGTAGATATTTTCAAGGATTGGAAACCGTTCTTTGTGGTTTTATGAGATTATGATTCAGTTCCTGAGCAGCACAAAGACACAAATTTTAATGTTTGTCATCATAGAACTGTTATGGCATCCTCAAGTACCATATTGATGTTCTGATACAGGGGCGTAGCGAGGGGGGGGGGGCATAGGGGGCCCGGGCCCCCCTACGTAAATCTGATAATTGTTTTATTAAGTATTTATAGAGAAGAACTAGTTAATGTAGAGGAAGTAATGAAAGAGATGTCAAAATCAGCACGAAAAATTAAATTTAATATATGAATAACGAATTAAATGTTTAAACTTAGAATAATGAATATAGATTTAAGGATACAAAATAACGGTTTTTAATTTTCGAAAATGCCCCCCCCCCCCTAAAAATTTTCTGGCTACGCCCCTGTTCTGGTATGTTGCACAGTTTTGTCATCCATCAGTATCTAATGATTAGAGTCTGTTCTTGTTGTAGGATGCACAACTGCTCATTATGTAATCTATTGCATCGCAATAAAGCCGGCTTAGTAGTTCCTGATAAAAACTTTAATATTTGCTATCAAAGTAAGCAAAAGAACTTCAAAGCTCAAATTACTGTAAATGCTATAAAAACCTCAAACAGGCAATCTCAATCAACAAAATTACTTCCATTTACCACCCCTAATCCCCTGCTCTACAACTCTCCAATCCTTATTTTCATTGAAAAACTGTAAAACAATAGACGTCCTTAATCAAGTCTCAATCTAATGGAAAATTCCAATAAACCATAATGTTATCAACCTTATCAAACCATCCCATCTCCACCCACACAACCGCCATAAAACGAAATTCGAAGGACATTTTGCTATTTTCTTTCTGGGAGCCAACATGCAACATGTACATGACCTAATTTCATCATTTTTCCTCAACTCTTTTACTACATCCTGCTCTTTCATTCACAACGTATTTAAACAATGAAAATGTGTAAAACATTGTAGTCAAGTTGCTGTTGAGAAAGCGTATTGTGAAGTTGTGAGGAGGAAGTAGGGAGGAAAAGGATGAAAAAGACATTAAAGAATAGGTTATGCGGTGTTGCAGAAATCGTCGTAAACCAATTTTTTTATCAGGATTATATAAAAGGGGAAGCTTCGGCATCAAAAATCCTGCATTGAATTCAAAATTAGCTAATGTTTCCCTTCCATCACCTTTACGCCGAATGGTGTAGTATGAAAAAATAGGAAATGCTAGAAATTTTTCTACTCACACCTTGAAAATTTATATATTTTTTTCCTTGATACCTTATAATATCGCATGGGGGATATAAGAGTGAGGAAAAAAGAAATTTTACTTTTCCGTCATCAAAACAACGAGTTGCGCAAAACGCGATTGCCACTTGTTTGAATTTTCCATGTCTACTTTACGTTTACACAATGTATCTAATGTGAATTGAGTGTGTAAAGTCGTGCAACATTGAAGCATTGGATGGATGTCAGGAATTCTTAACTTGTTTTTAAAATTGGTCTAGAATTGCAATTAAACAATTGCAATTGGTTGCAATTGTTCATTAATTTATTTTGATGGCTGTACAGATCAGTTGCTTACCATAGTCACTATTAGGTGACAGGTAACCTATCTTCATCATTAGCTATCTGTTGACAATTTCCTAAACAAGTGCAACACTATTTGTGCCAATCGTTGATGTAAAAATGCTTAAAACTTTAATGAAATTTCCCCTGAATTTGTTCCTCGTCATGCTTTTTCTTCTCTATTGACACTCCTTACTTTGGGACATTTTCTCTAATTAATGGCAGTTAATGTCTAGTTGCATGAACGACACACAGCTCGTAGATATCATTGGTTTATGTCAAAACTCGGTTTTAACTGTACAAATTGTCAAACTGTTCATTTTAGTGTTTTTAAGTTGAAACCCTCAAAATTAGTCAAAGGAGTCAGTGAAGTTATTTAACATTTAATTATTTTAATTGTTTTTGAAAAATATTTTGCAAAATAGTTCGTTTTAATATCTCTATTTGCTGATTATCTCCCAATATTGGACAAGAACTTTTCAAACTGATCTAATATAATAGCAAGATTGTCAAATTCACACTTACCGGTTAAAACTGAAGCTTTTGATCGAGTTGATTTTTAAAATCTATTCAAGTAAGTTTATTGCTTCTTATCTTTGTATTTTTTGACTTGATTTTAAATATTCCATGCCAAGCCTCATCAGAAAAACTTAAAACCTCTCAAAAATCTTTATTATTTAATAATCTAATAATATCAAAATCATGAATAACAATTCAAATGATTCAATGATTACTTTAATTTACAAAAAAAAATCATAAACAACACAAAAAGCATCAAAACATCCGACCTCAATGCTTTCCAAACCACAGAAAACAATCAACCTTTACAATACGTAAAACGTACGTAATCAGCCACATACATTTTCAGAACATTTTCAATGCTAAACTTTCAACTTCAGTTCGAGATGAACGTTAGTGGCAAATAGTCGAGATTCCGTTTATATAACTTTTTGGTTCTATATCGTAAGAGCAAACATAATTTCCAATTTATTTGATTAAAATTAATAATGTGATTTGACTAAATTGATTGTGTGATGGAAAAAATTGTGAAAGAATTTGTTTAAAAACACCGCAAAATGTCATTAACATCCTAAAGGACTGTCAGTTCCGCTTTAATGTATTACATAGAAAAAAATAAGTGGAATTGAATGTTATTAACACGCCTATATATTTAACTCTATTGCTGCTTATTTCTGTGAAAATTAAATAATGTGTGTTTGTTTCTGCCTCAAAGCCTTCAACTCATGAAAATCAAATTTGGATCCTGAGTACAATTTTTTTTGTGAGATTGTGAATAGAAAGGAATTGAATTATGGCTGAACATTATTTTTTTGGATAACATTGACGTGCGGCTTTATCTCATTTGACCTTGTATGACTGCTTTAATTTACTCTCATATTATTCCTAAATACTAAACGCAATCAGTCATACTTGTATGTACGTGTGGATCAGTGGTGGAGCTAGACATCTCAAGCCAGTCATCCATAAAGGATGTTTAGGAATTTAATTTCATACAAAAAAAATTATTTTGAGGGA